GCTGTCCCTCAGCTCTTCAGCTCAAGGCTAGCGCTCTACCACTTGAGCCACAGCGCCACTTCCGGCTTTTTTCTTTTTGCTTATATGGTGCTGAGGAATCGAACCCAGGGCCTCTGGCATGCAAGGCATGCGCTCTACCACTGAGCCACCTTCCCAGCCCTTCTCTCATTTATTGCTATATAGAAAAGATACTATGGGGCTGGGAAGGTGGCTTACCTAGCATGCATTTGAATCTGGATTTGAATCCTCAGTACCACATAAACAGAAAAAGCTGGATGTGGTGCTTTGGCTAAAGTGGTAGAGTACTAGCCTTGAGCACAGAGAGGCTCAGGGACAGTGCCCAGGCAGTTTTAGGGTAGAATCTTCAGTCTTTTTGCAGATCCATATGATCTGCAAATAGAGACAATTTGATTTCTTTCTTTCCTATCTGGATCCATTTTATTTCCTTCTCCTCCCTATTGCTCAGACTAGGAATTCTAGTACTGTATTCTAGTACTATATTGAGTAAGAATGGAGAAAATGAACTCTCTTGTCTCATTCTCCACTTTAAAGGAAATGTTTTCGGTTTTCCCCCATTTAGTAAGATGTTTAGTATGTACGTAATGTACTTTCCTTCTATTTCTAGCCTCTCCAGGGCTTTTTTTTTAATCATTAAAGGATGATGTATTTTTGTTGCTATCCACAATCTAATACAACACAAAGGGATATATGGGAGCCAGAGAAATAAGAACTACAGAGAGGGAGTGGGGAACCAGGGGTTTTGGTAGTCAGCAGCTTTTAAACCCCAAGCTCCTTTAAGCAAGCTTATTTATTTTATTGAATACATGGGAGGTCACTTACAGATACAGGCAGAAAACCAGGTATCAACTTATCTTCTGGTTGCAACCTTTAACTTGGGATATAGTTTGTGTACATAGTGATAATTGACTCCCTTATCACTTGAGAACAGGAGGAAGTGTGGTAAATATTTAACCCTAACACAAACCTATTTCCCACAGTCTCAAGCTTTATTTATTTATTTATTTATTTTGGTGGGTTGTTGGGCTTGAACTCTAGCCTGGGTGCTGTCCCTGAGCTCTTCAGCACAAGGCAAATGTTCTGCCACTTGAACCACAGCACTACTTCTGGTTCTCTGGTGGTTAATTGGATATAAGAGTCTCAAGGACTTTCCTGCCAAGGCTGCCTTTGAACCTTCATCCTCAGATCTCAGCCTCCTGAGTAGCTAGGATTACAGGGGTGAGCCCCTGGCACCTGGCTAGGTCTCAAGCTTTATAAGGTCCAAACAGCTCTAATTTAAACAACAATGCAGTCCAATTAATAGTAATTTAAGTATTTGTTTTGCCTTGTTTGTTTGACCTTTCCAGGGTGCAGTTCTTTACTTTTGAAGTACTGACAAGGTAGCATTTCAACCTCTTAACCCTTTTCTGGTCTCACAGCTTAGGCTCAGAGTTCCCTTCATATTTTGTTAAAGCCTTTTTTATCTGTCAGTAGAGATAATCATATATGATCATTGTCCTCGATCCTGTTTCTGTGCTGTATTACAATTATTGCTTTACATATGTTAAACCAACCTTGCAAACCTGGAATGACACCGATTTGATCTTGATATGTTGTTGAATTCTCTTAGCAAGCATTAGGTTGAGAATGTTGGCATCTATGTTCACCCAGGAGATCTGGTATATAGTTCTATTTCCTTGAGGTGTCCCTGTCAGGGTTTGGAATGAGTTTCGTTCTGGATTTATAGAATTCATTTGGTAGTGTTTCCTCCCTTGCATTTCTTGGAAAAGTTTGGGGAGTATCAATGTTAATACTTCTTTAAAGGTCCTCTAGAATTCAGCAGCCTGTCCTGGGCTTTTCTAGGTTAGGAAGTCTATTATCACTTCAATCTTAGTGATCCTTATAGATCCATTTCAGTGATTTTGTATTCTCTTCTTTTTCTCATATGTTAACTATACAGTAATAAAATTTAATTCTTGTGTTATTTGAATTAAGCTTAGTTGAAATATTATCTGATCATACAAAATGATATTTACTGAAATGAGCTCCAGGAAATGGAAACAAGATATGGTTTTCTTTTTTTTTCTTTTTTATTATTATTATTTTTTATTGTGAAAATACTGTACAGTGGGGTTACAATTACATGGACAGATAATGAGTACATTTCTTTTTTTTAATTTTTATTTTTTATTGTGAAAATACTGTACAGAGGGGTTACAATTACATGGGCAAGATAATGAGTACATTTCTTATCAAGCATTGTAGCCTCCTCCTTT